CAACACATGCCACGATAAATGTTTATTGAATTCACAGGTGTGGCTGCTGTTGTTGAAAACATCACAAGCTGGGTTTATTTTTTATCAATTTTACAGAAGAATAAAAACAAAAGCTTTTTTTTTTGCATGTGAAAAGTAGTATAAATAGTCAAACCACTCTAAACAGCTTTCTCTCATAATCATAATGTTACTTTGCCTCAGTGTTCACAGTTTAACTAAGTCTAAAAGTTTCTTAATTCCAGTCTTATTAAAATGAGCAGAGGACAACAGCTGCCTAGAATGGTTAAAAAAAAAAAAAAAAAAAACAAAAACAGAGGTTGGAAAAGGTTTAGGTTGGAAAAGGTTGTTTAAAAATCATGCCATGGTTAGAAAAATGTCTGATTGGTCCCATAAAATACAAAGTGTTGCACAACCTGTAAATGGTAAACAAAGTGCTCTGTGTGTCAGAGTTCTCCGAAGTGAAAGAGGAAGTTCAAATGATGCTGGAGGATCACAGCGAAAACACAGATGGAGAATAAAAAGCAATCAGTTGTGGTGTTAAAAATAAACAGAGCAGCACTCCAGTGACAGCAGATAGTGCTGGGTATTGAGAAGAATATGTCCTAGACCCTGGTCGTGGCCTTGAGAGGTGGCTGATTTACGCAAGCGGACCAGATTCAGGCCATGTGAAGTAAGCTGATGGACAATCCTCCAGTCCTTGTCAACAATAAACATAAATGTGTCGCATGTCAGGCCTTTGTTTTACTTTCTTTGAATGCAGGGTGAAGGTTTTTCAAACTGTAGGGTGAACTGTGCTCCCCAAGGTCTGAGCCAGCCTCGTGAGAGGAAGGAAGACGTTGTGTGGTGTAGCTCAGAGCTAAAGATATCCACCTCACAACTCCAACTTCTGTGTGGAAGAACTGACTTCAGGAGGGAGGGATGTGCGTCACAACACAGAGTATGTCGGAGCATGTGGGGTGTGAGAAATGAGGAGTCCCAGGTCATTTTCTCTGTGGTCGTCCAATCATCTCTCAGGTCACTGTTTGAGTTCTGTTGGGTTTGTTTTGCTCGTCTTTGCACCTCACTCTCTCATCTTGCTTTTGTCTGTCAGCATGCACCAGAGACTCTGGCCTCCACAACCCAGACACATCAGTCCACAGCCACGAGGGCAACAGCAAGAAAGACAGACAAAGAAGAAGAAGGAACCACATCATTTGCAGTTAAGTTAAGCTAATGAACATGGTAAACTTTGTACCTAACACTGAACCATGAATGTTTTCAAGGGCAGCTGCTTTGTGCGCTGTTAATCCCCATTTCAACGTTTCACTGTGTCAAGAATGAAGAAACGTGAAAGAGTTCTTCTGTCATTACACGTAGCTGGATGACATTTTGTACCGTGCAGTTCGTTTACTGAGCCCTTTAGCCCCAGTACAAAAGCTGTGCTGAAACAACAAAAGAGACGATGAGCTTATTGTGTAAAAATACCTCTTTTTTATTGAAGTTCCATCATTACAATTGCACACAATTGGTTTGAGCAATCTAAAATATTTATAGAAATTCAGTGAGCTCTAAATGAACAGTCATCAGTCTGTAGCAGAGGCTGTAGGCCTAGAGACGTGTAAATATACTGAGAACTTTACTTCCCACGGGCTAAGGAGCTGTAGCCATCATAACCCTCCCTGAACCCCAGCAACAGTGATGAAAAGACCCTCTTGCACGTACAGTAGCATCTCTGGATACATAGTTTTCTGAAGAACTAGCCGACACCCCCCCACCCCAAATAAAAGAACACAACACCAACATCAGAAGTCACATACAGCTGCGTGTACCAGCAGTTTACCACCTGCAACAGAGAAACAGAAAGCTCACGTCGTAGTATTCGACCTTAAGAGTGCTCGAGAAGCGTGAGATACCTCGTCACATTCACTCACAAATGACTGATTTACACTCGATATACTCTGGTAAAAATCTAGCAGAACATGATGTGTAAAGGGCCGGAAGCATTCCTCACACAAGCTTGTTGATATCTTTGATTCATTCACTGACACGTTTTGAGGATGAGGAAGAAGGTGAGTAAAGTTTCCTCTGATTCTCTCCGAGCCTCACGTCTCAATATGACTTTCAAACAGCTAAAATGTTCCAGTAAAAGCTGTTCACCTACTGGATGTTACCGAAGCATCACCCAGAAATACATGCCTGTTGTTGGGCACTCAGATAAGCTTAGAGATTAAGAGGGCACTCATGATGTGATGTTACAATAATCGCCCATGAAGGACAGTTTCCACTCGGACGTCCTGCCCCCGTCAACCCTCAGTGACTGAGGTTTACTCAGCAAGTGAGAGCAAGCCATAAATAGAATTCGCACATGGAAGCAGACATATACAAACAATCACACATAAAACACAAAGCTTAATGTGAGTTTGTGTTTGGTGCCTGTTTTGTCTGTGTGAATGATGAGACTCTCCAGCACAACTCTTTTCTCATTACTACTGAAAACAAGTGTGACCACAAGTGTCAGTGCTGTTTGCAGAGCAGCAGAAACAAGCAGTGTGTGGAGTTACAAGGTTCTGAGAGCAGCTTTGAGAAGCGGCAGATATTTGAGTTAACATTTGATCAAACAGCACTGTGCAGCACAACAGCAGGTGGTTTTCAAAGGGTGAGAAGATTCACCTTTAAAAACATGCATCTCCAAAACCCTAAACCTGTTTAATATCATGATTCATTCATATCCAGATACTGTAAATTCTCAGGTAACCTAAGTAAACGTGGTATGTTTCCTGGTACCAAACAAAGGGTAAGAAAAAGACCCTTTTACAATAGTAACTGCTCACATGCATGGTGTTGCACAGTGTCATGCTGTACCAACTACTCTCCTAATTCCATACTGTATACTATATAAACTACTACAATATGCACATCGTTCTAGTGTCGGTTTTTGCAGTTTGTATATGAAAGAAGGTACTTTTTTCATTTTGTACTGTTAAAATGAGCACTTTTTGATTAATTCAACTGCAACTTGGGAAAGCTGCTGCCAAGTAACTATAGAGCTACTCAGAGATTTGATTTCTTTGCTCTCTGAGGTTTTTCTGGAGCTGCTTCTTCATTGTTGTGTACAATTTTTGATTCCTCCCCACTGTGAGCAGCTCCTCCATCTGCTTTGTGCATTGCACTAGAGGAGAATTACACTCAAAAACTAAATTAACATGCAAACTGAAATCTGTGAATATACTTCTGCATTACAAATTAATTACTATAAAACCAGATTTTTGACATAAAATAACATTCCTGCCTCATCTGCCATTAGCATGTGCTAAACCTATTACGTTGTTAACTACTATTAAATTAATGTATTTCACCATTTCCTGATGACAGATCTTATCAAACTACAAATTAGGAAAACTGTTAACAATTAAATTCAATTTACACAAAGAAAGTAAAATGTCTTCACAAAAGTTTTACTTGTCATCTTTTCATTTTATTAATATTGTCCATCAGTGAGTAGCTTTTCGTGTCACACCCTGCAGTGCGGCACAACCACAGCCAGTCCTGACACCTTTAAATGTTTCAGTTGGTTTATTTTACACCGTAAATGCAATACAAAAAAATCTGTTTTATTTAGTTTTACTTTATTTTTTCAAGCCAACTGGTTCGACTTTGGTGCCCTTTCATGTTTCTGACCACCACCGGTGTATGGGTGCAAAATCCTCTCAAAACCATCAATCTACAGATAAAAATCAAGATTTACAAATGTGTAAACATTGTTTTCTGTGTGCAGTTCTTTAAAGTATTTACAGATTGTTATGTAAATATACATATATATATATACATATTATGAGACGCACACAAATCGGTTTTACACATTTGTGACCTTTACTGTATGTGTAAATCGGCGAATACGCATTTGTGGCTCGTCCTGAGAGGATGTTACGCCCACAGCAGTGCTACTGAGCAATGTTTTTTAAACGTGGGATTCCTGTTTCGTTTGCATATGTACACCCATCTAGTGCTTAACAGCTGGTAGTGATAATGCACCAGCAAAGGTAGTGAAGAAGCAGACTGCGAGCCAGTAAACAAGGATGTGAAGAATGCTGGATGTAAACTATCAGAGAAACTCAGCTTTGCAAATGTTGTGCGAGGAAGAAAATGTGCCACATAAAGCTTCACGCATACACAGTGCATTTTGGTTAGAGACATTTCACAGGCCTCCCTGATGTCACTTTCAGCAAAAGTTTCAAAGTAAAAGCTTTTGGGAAAATAAAGGGACACTGGCCATAAACCTCTGCGAGGCTTATAATGTAAAACTGACAAAGAAAGACTGAGGCAACAAAGAGGATAGGACACAGAATAAAAACCCTGTCTTAAATAAAAGCCTGGTGCCCTTTTTAGGTGAGAAAAATATTTGATAGATAACAGTGTCATGATTTCACAAAAAAAAGTCAGAACCTCATAACTCCAAACTCAAAAAGGCCAAAAACACCTTGTTAAACTGAAACAATGCCCACACAGACGATAACCTCTCAAATGACCGTTTTCTTACAGTAAAACATTCATCAGGTGATGTGCGAACTGGCTCCTCGGTACAGTGCAAAACATCACAGCAACATGCAGCATCAGCTCCCAAGAGGAACTGAAGGACAGACAGTTTTTAAGCATCAGTCACAAAAACATGAGTGTTTCAATGCACTGTTAGGCACTTATACAAACACCACACAGACCGAAACCACTGCTACGCGACCATGCACGGGATGATGATGAATGGAAGTGCTTTTCAGCAGGTGGAGGCTTGTTGAGCAGAAAGGAGGTCTGCACTAACTGCCCCCCTCCTCAAAGACTCCCCCCTGAGAGCAGCTCCACACGAGCTCTCGCTGTTCTGCTCCTGGTCTTTGGTCACATTTGCTAAATTAATGAAAATGATTCTGATTATTTGAAGACCAACTCTGGTTCAGCTCTGCATGAGACGCTACAGAAGCGCCTTGTCCAGATGACCCCCCACAAAAAACATGCGGGGTGAATATGACAGATCTGTACCAAAACGACTTTTTAACTGCTGAGGAACAGTGTGACTTGAATGTTTCATTTCATCGTGCAATAAAACACTTAAGAGCATATGTACTAATGAGAGAGCCCACGCTGGCAGTGAGTTGCGTCTGACAGATTGCCTCCTACCCTCTGACGCATGTTCACTGCAAAGGAAAAGTTGAGAAAATGCATGTAGGGGAACAAACGCAATCGTAACCATGATGTGTGAACTACCTCTGAGCAGAATCAGCTGTGATGGGAGGGACTGATAGAGGAGGGAAACAGTTCAGCACAGCAAGTGATGAGAGAAGGAAGCTGAACGAGCCCACAGTTTGTGTCTAAATAACACTTTGAGGAACTTTAAGGAGTCTCCTCCCTGCTGGACAGTGAACTGAAAGCCCAGCAGGGAGGAGACTGTGGTGTGAAGGGTGAAAGGAAGGCCGCCTGTCTACTGCAAAACAGGAAACTTACTGGTGAACATGTCCAGTTGACAGAGCAGACTGTACTGGGCCAAGGACAAAACTGTTTTGAATGGCAGCAAAACAGCAAAGAGAGAATATGATTTTGTAGGAGATAAAAATGCAAATGAATGTACTGAAGATTAGGTGGAACACTGTGGTTTAATTTGTTAAAGGCCCAATCTGTGACTGGTGTCAGCAGGTAGCCTGCAGGTACATTTGCATAACTGAACATTATTAAAGCCGCTGCATCTGGCTTTTTTTTGGACTGTGAAATCTTTCTGCAGAGCCCCACAGTCCCAAAAATGATTTTTAAAAAGTCATCCAATCACAAGATATAATAAAGATAACATTTTGGGACTTTGAGATCTTTAAATCTATCAAATGTTTCCCATTTGCCACAGTGTGACTCTGGCATCACCACTCGAGGGCGAGGATGAAAATTTCTACACACAGTGCCTTAAAGGATGATAATTAAAATTCTATGTTTGTTTTCCTGCTACTATAAATATTACTTGTGTGAAAAACCTTCAACAGCTGCATTAGTTAATATTTTATACTGATACAGGATCAAATTATAACGTGCAGTGTGAAAGGTGTCACTTGTTGGGACAAACTCAGAGAATCTGTCCCTCAGCTCTATGGAGTGTTTCAGCATCTTTCAGGCCCAAAGCATTGTTCTGCTTTAGTCTAGTACCACAAACAAAAAAAGCTGACATACCTACTGTAACATGGTGGCAGCGACCTGTTGTAAAAGGTTAAAAATAAGTCATGCCAATCAAAATCGGAGTTATAGCCCATTTCAGTCCTTTCTTTCTTCTACATCACAGACTGAGCCTTTAAACAGCAAACCAGTTCAGCACAGCTGAAATGAATGACTGGACTGACACAAATGTGGAAAGTCTAGTGAAGTCAGCAAAAAAAAAAAAAATGTATAGGCAAGAAGCTGAATTTTCCAGCTGTGTTTGACTATAGAGTAGCACTTGCATAACAACTAAAGGCCGCAGCTGGGCTCTACTGTTAACGGGCACCTGACGCTTTCTGCCATTAGGAACCACCACGAACCGAGGTCGACAGCAGAGATGAGCACAAACATATGGAAGAAAAATAATCTCGATCTACGACGAGAGGCACAAAGTCATGGAAGCAAACAGGAAGTGGAAATACAGAGACATGCAGAGTGTGAAGAGGAAGGAAGGCCGAGATCCCTGCGTCATCCATAGTACAATGTATTGTTTTCCTTAGTCTTTTCTAGAGAGGCACATAGAAGGCTTGCAGGTTACAGTTTAAAAGCATCGATGTGTTGAGCCAAGAAGAACACAACAAAAACATACACAGCCCACACAACACACAAGAGAAGTCTAATAGGTCGGTCAAGTTTCCAGAGGGAAAACAGCAGTCGTAATAAATAAGAAAAACTGCAGGAAATATGTCCGGGGAAAAAAACTGGTCTAAATAATAACAACAATAATTAATATAATATTAATAATATCCAGTTCTTTTCATGTTGAACAAGAAGCGGAGGGGGTTGTGATTGGCTCAGTACACACAACAAGGAGAATACGGGCTGTCTTCTCCCACAGCCGACCACAATGTCAACACACACCTCACTTAAAAATGCATGTGTTAGGCAGGGCTGCACAACTGGCTGCATCTGAATCACAGTTCATCCTGTACCTCTGCACAACTTCAGGCTGTCATGGATTTGTGTTGGCCGATTGGTGTTCTGCATCAAACTAGGAGCCTCTAACCATCTAGGCAGTTTGTAAAGTTCAATTAAGATGAACTGTAAAGCCAAGAACACGTGTACTTTGCTTTGTTTAAACCAGCTGACTGCATCTGTTATACTGCATACAATTTATACCACATCGGCGTCTGGAGTGGCAGATGTGTTCACACGTTTGTTGCTGCTTCACATAGTGTCGTACATTTTAAGATGCACTTTTGACAGTTGGCCCATGTAAATTTATGCCGAGCTAACCTACAGAGACAGATATTTGTGCTTTACACAGCCACAAACAAGGACTTTTCCACTGAAAATATATATTTTTGTTCTGAAAGGACACCCTTCTACTGTTTGCACAGGCCCACGGTGAGAAACAGGACACAGAACGGGGATCAAGGATATAATGCATCCAACCCAAGTACTGACAAAAAAGTCATACTGTTTTGTGATGGATTTTTTTTTAGATGCTAACATGCTAAAACCAGATACAGCATGAAGGTACCGATGTCACGAGAGCTACCCTGCATCCCGGCCGCAAGCGCCTCCAACAGGAAGTTAATTCACTGTAGCTGACGACCCCTGACTGGCACGACCAGACTGCAGAGGAAACCTGTCATAAAGTCAGTATGTCAGCGCCGAGCTCAAACACTGTGATTCTAAGTTCATCCAGAATCGTGCAGCCCGACACAAACACACACACGCACATCATGCACCATGTCACACACACAAAAACACACTTGCACACAGGCAGCCCGAGCCCAAAATGTGTAGTAGACATCTGCTGTAATCAAGGGAGAGCAGTTGAAGTGCAGTACCCAGCTGTGTGCTGCACGTCTGCATGTCTTCAGAGATCGGACTCTATAACTGCTCCTCACTGGCCGTCTGAGCCTGGTCTCACACAGAGATATATTCTGTACATGCAGTCAATTACTAAACCGATGCAACACTTGCTTTGAGTATACAACCATTTAGATTATACATAGATAGCACTATATCATTCATATTTTATATAATCTGCTCCTCTTTTCATTTGTTTTTGAGCAAAAAAAAAAAAAAAAAAATTATGACCAGCTACACAGTCAACTTTCTGACTGATAGCAACAATGTTTGAGGAGCAGGCGGTGCACAGAGGCAGGACAAATCTAACCAAAGAGGGAGGTTTTGCATTCAAACATCTTAAATGATTCCAGATTATATGAGAGGCACCCGTCTCCCCAACCCCTCCCAGATCAGGTAACATACAGAGGGCACAGAGGCCAGGTGGGGGCGGGGTCAACCTCCTCGCTCTGCTTCATCAGCTTCTCCTCTGGGCTCCGTCTGTCTGGTTCTGGAGGGTGGAGTGAGATTATGGCAAGGCGAGGGAGGGGTCCTGCAGGTAACAAGGGCTGCGAATGGTGCTTTTTGTTTATCTTCTTCTTCTGAACAGATCCTCCCTCCACTCCTGTGCAAGTGTGGAAAGTCAATCCCCTAAAATGACTTTCACAAAGCTAGCCACGTCGGTTTCTTTGGCCTCATGGGAGGTGAAGAAGGGGTGCAGCTGAGGAGGAACATGAAATCAGTTTATTCTGAGTATCATTAATTTTTATCGTCAGTTCTCTGTATTGTGACAACTGATGTGCAAACTGAAGCAGCTTAGATTGTCCAGTCAGATTTGAGGACTTTCAGCCATATGGAAATAATAATCCGAGCGTGCCCTCTGGTGTCCGATGAAGAGTATTACAGAGCGCATGTATCTCATCTACAACTGACAATGAAACCATAATTATTTATACAACAGGAGAACATAACACAACACCCACCATGAGTTCTGTGTAAGTCGGTCGCTCTTTGGAAACTTTCTTTAAGCTGCAGAAACAAAACAAAGCACAACATTAATTCACAACAAATGGAACTGGCCACTCATACCACAATAGTATTAAACTAATCATCAGGCCTTCAGCCACAAAGCTCAGCTTTTATTTTAGCAACTGCGTCACCGTCATTTGAAGAAAGCCTGATGACAAACTTAATAGTCTGAGGACTTTGAGCTGAGATTCAGCTTTGTTTCACCGGAATAAAATCAAAGGAAACAATGGAATCAATGAAGAATTCATGACAATAGAAGAAAAAACAGAAAGTGTGTATTTGCTGTTACCTGACCACTGTTACTCCCAGCAGAGCTGATCAATCCTTTTTCCAATAACTAAACCACTATACTGTTAAAAGTACAGGATACAGTTCAAACTGCAGCGCCATCCCCTGACTGAGCAAGCGAGGTCAGTACATTCAACAGATTTACATGCAAACAGAGAGGATAATTATCATAATCATAAAATCTCATAGTGGTTTTCTCATTGTACTAGGTCAGCATCACATCCAGTGGCTTCAGAAAGTGCTCAGACCACTTTCTGTACCCATGAAGTCAGTCTTCAGGCCTCTCCACAAGTCTGGCCTTTGGCCTGGCCCCTCTGTGGCAGCCAGAGACTGGCCCTGGAGCCACTCCACTGGTCTCTGGTGAGGGTGAACAGTTGCCCCAGTCTCAGGTGGCTGGAGCAGGTTTCCTCCAAGGGATTTAAGGGATGGCCGCATCCTTTCCCCAGTTCTGACCAGTCTCCCTGTCCCCCCCCGTTTATCCTGTTTAGTACTGTCATGTTTAATTTACATTAACACAATACAGTCATATAGGAACCCCATTATATTTTAGAGCTGGATGTGCTAGGTTTCTCGGTGGGTGTGCTCGAGAGTCCTGGCAGTCCCTGCACATCCTGTCCCAACAGGATGTTGGCAGCACAAGAACAGCACCGACAAAAGAATGCAAACATGAGCTCAATCTGATTAAGTCGAAATTAAGTGAAGCCCACTCAGCTGGGATCAATACACATTTTTGTCTGATGTCTTGTGGCTTTGCTGAAGGGCAGAGTGTCTGAGAAGATCAGCCTACAGCGAGCGACTGTGTGGTGGTGGTGGTGGTGGGGGGACACTGAATGTTTTCTAGTGAACAAAGAGCCACATACCACTGAGAGGTGAAATCCACAAACTCTGGAGAAAACTGGTCGGCAGGAAGCTGAGGCGAAGGTTCTTCCACCACCTGCTTCAGCTGCTGGAAAGGCGTGCCCCACGAGTCGTACGGGAAGCGCAGGATGGCGAGCTCGATCTGAGCCACACACACAGAGGAGGAACGGTTTGCATCCTGGTTTCAGGGAATACTACAGACCTGGGACTGCATTTATCAAATTACTAAAAGTAAAATTTATCTGGAACCATTTTGATAATAGATTGATGACTTAGGGGTTTTTTTTTATGCAAAATGCTAAACATTTACTAGTTGTCGCTTCTCAGATGTGAAGACTCACTGCTCGTTTGCAACACACAAGCATGAACTCAGTGTCTTTTGGGTACAAATACAACATGCTATTGGACTTGATTACTCCACTTTGGGCTGTGGAACATTATGATTTCCATTTTTACTATAGTCAGATGTTTTACTGACCAGTCACTGAGAAAGTTTTTGCTGCTCCTTCATCTGCATGCACATTTCACACTAACCAAAATACGACTCTGCATGTAAACCTAAGCTCCGCTCACTACTCACTCTCCACTACATCACAGGCCTTAATACTCAATTCTGATCTTTTTTGTGCTTCACATCCATGTGTGTGACATGTATGTGAACACCACTGAGCTCCTAAACTGCCACACGTGCAGATTTAACTGAAATGTGAGTCATGTGTGTATGAGACTAATGGGCAAATCGTACAATTCCCTCAATTTCCTCACTTGTAG